TTTTTCCCCAGAGACAGAGTCTCAGTATGTTGCCCAGGCAGACCTCGAACTCCTGAGCTCAAGTGATCCTCCCGTCTCACCCTGCTGAGTAGCTGGGACTGCAGAGGTGGGCTGTTAAAAGACAGGATCAAAGCGTCTGGCCCTGACCTCAGAACCCCCATAAGGACACACATTCTAGCAAGGGCAAGGGTGGCAATGGCAAACGGCATATTGGCTGGCAGAGGCTTCCTGCTTTGTAGGACCAGTGAGTTCCTCTCAGATTGGATACTTGTCAAGTAAAAGTATTATTTATTTATTTATTTGGGGGTTTTTGGAAACAGAGTCTTGCTGTGTAGTCCAGGCTGGCCTTGAACTCACAGTAAATCCTCCTGCCTCAGCCCCTGAGTGAGGGAGGATCAGGGTTACAGGCGTGCGCCACTATGCCCAGCCACACTTTCAATTTTTTTTTTTTTAAGAGACTTTGAACATTACCATCATTTCACAAAGTCGGTGTAATTTCAGTGCAAATATATCCCTAGAAGGACATGCTATCACAGGTCAGTGCTGTAAACTGGGAGACCTCTCTTGGGAAAAACCTTTCTCCATAGCCGTTATTTTCCTCATCGCGAGGGGCTGGTAAAATCTCCTTACGGGTGGCACCTGTTTAAGGACCCCCCCCATCTGGGGACCATAGCGATGTCTCCCCCCCCCCTTTTCTGTGGTGGTGCTGGGAATGCTGAGACCCAGGGCCTCGCAGACGCTAGGCAAGCGCTCTACCACTGAGCCATGCCCAGCCCTCCCCGCCCCCCATTGGATCCACACCAACACCAACTCCACTGGGGGGCTCAGGGAAGCTGAGAACCTTGCCTGATGACACACATTGGCAGGACCAGGTTCCAAATCCAATTCAATTGTTTGTTCCGGGGATCGAACTCACACACTTACGCTTTCGAGGCAGGCGGCGGAATCACTGAGCTAAATCCCCGGCCTCAGCAGTCTTTTTTTGATGGATCTCAAACTATTCGCGGGATGAGCTGGCGGCCACCATATTGGTTCTTGAGCCAGGACCCGGATGTTCAGAGACCGCAAGAGGGAACAATGTGACGTCACGGACCAGGCTGCAGTCCTGGTGCGGCTGCGAGGGTTCAGGGCGGGATGGAAAGCCCTTGAGGCCACAGTGTTTTCTCATGGAGCCTCAGGCTGCCCTAGCACAGGGATGGTCACCTAGGGCTGGCAGGGAATTTTTGCAGTCTGCAAGTAAGAGCGTGGTTTGTAACGTCAGTTTTTATTTAGCAGGATTTTCCTGTGGAATCAAGGGAGGAAGGAAACTTGACACCAGCTTGATAGGATGCTACTGGGGGGCGAGGAGGAAAGAATAGAGTTCATGCGCTTACTCAAAGACACCTCCTCAGGACCTTTGAACCGGTGTTTCTGCTTCTTGGAACACCTACCTGTTCTTCTGGGAGTTCCCTGACTCCTCCTGCCACCTGGAGGAGTGGACAGCTCAGAGCCACATCTGCCCACATCCCAAAGCAGTGGGCACTCAGAACTGCCCTGTGCATAGGTTCCCGGCCCAGCACCTGGGGCAGTAGATGCTCCCTCCTGAGGCCCACGGGAGCAGCCTTGTCCTGCCCTGGGTAGGGTCAGACCTGGAGCCTTTCCTTCAGATCTTTGTTACAATCTGCAATTCTATATCCAGGCGATTGCCTCTGCCCCAGTACTGGGGATTGAACTGTGCTACATCCCAGCCCTTTTTCAATTTTTTATTTTGAGGCAGGGTCTCCCTAAGTCACTAAGTTGCCCATGCAGATCTCAAACTTGCAATCCTCCTGCCTCAGCCCCAAAGAGTGCTCGGTTTACAGGTGTGTACCACCAATCCTGGCGTAGACAGCTGTATTTTTGCTGGCTCTCGTATCTGTAGCCCAGCACAGTGTCAGAGGCCTAGCGGGCGCACGCTGTGTTTGTTGAGTGCCTTCCCTTTGCCAAGGGCTGCCTGGTACCCTGGCCGTCTCTCTGCTTTTCACTCTAACACTGTTCTTATCGGTGGAGGATGGGGACAAGAGGGCACAGCCACCTCTAAAGAGCCGATCCTGGGCTACTTGAGGTTGTGCTCTTCCCAGCGCAAGGTTCAGACTGGGCTTATAGTTCTCTGGTACTGAGGACTAAGGAGTCTTTACCTACTGACCAGAGCTGAATGCTCTATATTCGGCTCTGTAGACTATCTGTTCTATATGCCCCCACCTCCGTGGGGGGGAGCGTGCCAGGGAGAGCACTACGCACCTGTCTTTCCCGTTTGACCACTGAGGGGCAGTGTTGCTCCACAAGGAAGAGAACGTAGGTAGGGTTTATTGCGTGCCAAATGCGGGAGTCCGCTTGAATACACACTTTGATCCACAATCGCGCAAGAGATGGTTATTTTTAAGAGATCTTTTAAAGGCGAAGTAAAGAGGATCGAGAGATTGAAGTTCCCGGTGTTTCATGCCTAGTAAATGGCTCAGCCCCAATCCAGACTCAGGTCAGCCTGACCCCCGGCTTCTCCTGGCTCACTGGGCCTCTCCGAGGCAGATCTTTTGGAGCTTGTCCCGCAGCAACGCAGCCTCCCTGCCTCACCTGAGTCAACATATCCCACTTTCCAACTCCCTTCGGTGTGGGGCTCGAACCCGGGGCCTCTCAGATGTTAGGGAAACTGTGCCACTGGGCAACAGCCCCAGCGGGTTAAAATTTTTTATTTTGACCTTGTGGAGATGAGAAGGAGATCTGGGAGTGGAGGGAGGTGGGAGGGCTGGGAGGAGTAGGGGAGGTGAAAAGAATGAAGATACTATGTGAACATGTACCGATTCCCTATGGTGGATGTGTTTATTATATATCTCAAGCATGTTCTAATAAGATAACGAAAATACAATTAAAATACCCAACAATAGAGAAGTGGAAAGTAAATTATAGGGCATACTATGGACACTGTGTAGTCATTAAAGTGAAACAAGTTAGTCTCACACAGAGAACTTTTAGACAAGGTTCCATTTACAGCTCAGGCTGGCCCTGAACTCACTATGAAAGAAGCCCAGGCTGGCCTCAAACTCACCACAATCCTGCTGCCTGGGCTTCCCAAGTGCTGGGAATACAGGTGTGCTCCACCATGCCCAGTTCATACAAACTTTTGAGACAGTCTCACTAAATTGCACAGGCTGGCCTTGAATTTAAAATCTCCTTGCCTCAGCCTCCCCATGTAGATGGGATTATAGGTGTGTACCACCACACCCTGCTGTATCCAGTATTTGATTGTCCATATTAAAACAAGGGCCACTGTCTTGGGTCTAAAATTTAAAGATGAATATCAAACTGCCAGTGTTGAGGTCAGAGGCCAGTATTCTGTTTGCTTGGGGAGCGAGGAGGTCAGCAGTCCTGCTCCTCTTCTGTCTCATCCTGTGTCCCAGCCCAGCCCTCCCAGCTGCAAGGAGCTGACACACCGATGGCTGTCACTGCTCTTCTTCAATGGCCCCTGTGGCTTCTAGGGGAAACACCTCTCCTTAGCTTGTGTGGCACCAGGAAGCCACGGGGCCACCTGGAGTGGTGGGTCATGAGGGCTTTGGACTGGTGGGGCAGCTCTGAGCTGGACTCTCCTGGTTGCCTCTCTGTGTCCCCACTACTAGCAGACACCTCCCAGCCCCAGTGCCCAGAGCCCAGCCTTTGGATCTGAGTGGTGGCTCCTGGCACATATGCTGGCCTGCAGTGAGGGCTCCTAGCTATGACCCTCAGCTTTCTTTCCTCAGTCCCTGGAGAGTCCAGTACCACCTGCAAAGGCAGTCACTCTCCACAAGGTGCAGTCCCAACAAGCGGCAGGGGCACCTGTATTGCTTGGGGCATGCAGAGGAAGGCACTTCCTGAGTCGTCTTTCCTGTGCTCACCAAGCACCTCCTAAGCTCCTAGATGTTAAATTCCTTGAGGGCAGAGACATGCCTATGATCTTCTGGGTGCCCCCCTTGATCCAACACAGCCCTGTGTCTTCCGTGGCATCTCTAGGAATATTAACTGGTCAGCTGTGAGGGGCAGCAGGCATGGCAGGTCACCTCAGGCCACTGTCATCTGAAACAGAGACAGCATCATGTTGGGAGCCTGTTGCAGCCCAACAGAAGACTGTGAGGTGCTTTCTCCTTCCTGGTGCAGCACGGCTGTTTCAAGCCACAGGCATGAGACCAGGAAGCCTGAGTCTGAGGGCTCTGGTCTGGTGGCAGCTGTGCTCAGACATAGGGATTGGGAGGGCCTACTCCTGCGGTTCGAGCCGAGCCGGAGCAGCCTTGGCCATCTGTCTTCTCCTAGTCCTTAGCTTCTTCTGGCATCCAAAGAGATGTAAATGACCTGTATGCAAACCCTATGAGGTGTCTCCCCAGTCCCAGAAACTCTGCAAACCAGATGACTAGGATCTAGAACTCAGCCTCTCCAGGAAGAGTCAGATAAGACCCCCTCTGCCTGCACTGGCTTGGCTCCAGCCTTGTCTCTGTCACCCTCCACTTCCAGCTCCCCCATCCACTGACACACTAAAGCCTGCTTGCTCTGGGTTTGCATATCAGGTAAATTCTCTAATCGTATGCATTTGCCTATTCCTGGCCCATGACTAAAGCACCTTGCATACTGGTTGGCCTCCCTGTGCATGTTCTCAAAATGTAAAGCCATCAGATGTTCTTTAAGCACTCTGAGCATGTTAAGTGCATGTTATCTTTGCACTTAGCTAAGTAACACATTCTACATTATGACATTCAGACTATCAGGGAGGCCTTGTGTACTTTATCTCCCTCAGAACTATAGGAAAAGGCATTGCTATTATTCCTGTAAGAGCTGGGCTCTCAGCTGAGTGTGGCGGCACAGGCCTGCAATCCCAGCACTCTTTGAGGCTGAGGCCCGAGGATCTCAAATTCCGGCCCAGCCTGGGCAACTCATTGGCTTAGCGAGACCCTGTTTCAAAATAACAAATCAAAAGGCTGAGGATGCAGCTCAGTGTGAAGGCCCTGGGTTCAATCCCCAATATGCACACGAAAAAGATGGAGACTCGAGGGACCCACTCAAGGCCACTCCCCAAACAGTTCTCGGGTGAGACCTAGAGCTCTTGTTTGGTGGCCTCGAGGTCCAGGCCCAGTTCATGTCCTGAAGTAGCCCCCACAGCAAGTAAATACACTGCTGCCACCAGGAGAGAGGAGAAACTGCTGGCACCTGAAGCTTGGGGGCAGGCGAGGGTGGGTATGGGGGGTATTGGCCTTGCAGGCAGGGGGTTCTGAAAAAGAGGCTGCTGCAAGCTTGAGACTTTGGGGCCTGCAAAGAGATTTCCAGCTTCCAGATACCTTTGCTGCTCTCTGAAAGTTCCTTAACAGGGAGTAAACCCTAGCAGTCTAGGTCCCACTCTGCTTCTTTTTGGCTAAGTGTCTTGGCTAAGTGACTCAGACTTTGTTTAATCACCTGTTCATGATTATATAGAGTCTATTTTAGAGGGTTGTGAAAATTATATTTTTAAAATTTTTGAGACACAAGGTCTTGCTGTGTAGTCTAGGCTGGTCTTGAACTCATGGCGATTCTCCTGTCTCAGCCTCAGAGAATGCTGGGATTTTAAGGATGTGCTACCATGCCCGGCAAAAATTAAATTTGTACAAAACACATAAAACTAGGCACAGTGGCACACACCTGTAATCCCAGCATTTGGGAGGCTGAGGCAGGAGGATCACAAGTTCAAGGCCAACCTGGGCAACTTAGTGAGACTCTGTCTCAGATCAAGTAAAAAGGGCTGAGTGTGTAGCTCAGTGGTAGAGGATTTACCTAGTATACATGAGGGCCTGGCCTCAGTCTCCAGCAGAGAGAGAGAGAGAGAGAGAGAGAGAGAGCGACAGAATATTTTATTTTAAAAAGCAGTCCTGTGTTCAGTTATAGATTTACCTCCAACCTCTTATCATATTAAAAGTTTATTTAATAAAACGTACCCCCACTCAGATACATGAGAAAAGGGAGATATGGCTCAAATTTGTACTAGGACTGAGACTTATTTGAAAGTAGGACCTTTCCAAAGAGAAACTAGTGGAAACTGCATTTATAGCATACTTCTCTGTGCCTGTGTACACACAGTACTCTGTGTGTGTGTTTGTTTGTTTTGGTACGGGGGATTGAACTCGGGTCCTTGCACTTGGTAGGCAGGTAGCAGAGCCTATATTTTTGTTTAATTTCAGTAACTACCACAGCACCTCTACCAGCTCTGTCATTGTATCAGCTATGTATCTCCGTCCCCATTTGCTAGACAGGAAGGTAAGGCTCGAAGGGAGTTTGGCCCAGATTCGCAGAGCTGGGAACCAAATCCTGATTCATCTGATTCAGTGCATGGTCTTCCCCCAGATCAGGGCGGCTGGAGCGGGGAGTTGGAATGGTGATGGGCAGGAAGGAGAGTCAGGTGGCACAAAGAGTGAGGTGGGGGCAGAGTGGGGACAGAAGCACCAGCTTCAGCAGCGCTCAGACGGCTCCTGTCACCCTTAAGGCCTGCAGCTGCAAGCGTTCTGGTTCGTTTTCATTTTTGTTTTGCAGCTGGGCTGGTGAAGCAGCTCTCAGCCCTACGCAACTGGGTGGTACGATGTGCGGACCCAGCCTTGCGTGGGAGGGCGTTTCAGCAGCGGGCAGCTCTTGGGCCTCCTTTCTGCTCCTCCAGCTTCCGGTTCGTGGCTCTCCCCGCTGTTCGCGGGGAGGTAGGGACCAGTGCTTTCTTTGCCTGTTAGATTTCATTAAAGATGAGTTCCTTTCGGAACTTGCTCAAGAATCAAGATGGTGGGCACCGCGCCTGGCAGATAAGGGGTTTGGGGGTGAGGAGGGGAGTCATGGGTAGGGGGTGAGAGGGATGGGTGGGGGGGCAAGGGGAACCCGAGGGCCGAAAGGTGGTAGGTGTGTTGCAAAGTCTAGGGCCCTGTGGTGCTGAAAAGCGACTCCCCAAGCCCGAAACAGGAGTTTGTAGGACTGGGATAGAAGCTGGAAGGACTGGACTTCAGTTGCTGGCCACTCCCTTCTTCTCGGAGCAGTGTGACTTCACCGAGGATCGGACAGCAGAATTCCAGGAGGCCTTCCAGCTGTTTGACAGAACAGGTGACGGCAAGATCCTGCACAGCCAGCGTGGGGACGTGACGAGGGCCCTGGGCCAGAACCCCACCAACACCGAGGTGCTCAAGGTCCTGGGGATCCCCAAGAGTGATGAGATGGATGTGAAGGTCCTGGACTTGGAGCACTTTCTGCCCATGCTGCAGACCATGGCCAAGAACAAGGACCAGGGAACCTATGAGAATTATGTCGAAGGCCTCTGGGTGTTTGGCAAGGAAGGGGATGGTACCGTCGTGGGTGCTAACGTCGGTCGTGTCCTAGTCACACTGGGGAGAAGACGACGGGAGAAGTGGAGGCGCAGGGGGCAGGGCATGAGGACAGCAGCGGTTACATCAGCTATGAAGAGCTCGTCCCGATGGTGCTGACTGTCTGGGGATATTCCCAGTCTTCCGAGCCTGTGCCTCGCCCTATGTGAGATTTCCATATGGCCCCAGAAGCTCCCCACAAGCACCAGCAGAGGACCAGAGCCCATGCCGTCCAATTTCAAGGCTAGCCATTCTCTCCCTTTTCCTCTCCTAAAGGCCCAGACAAAAGAGTGGGAAGAACAGCCAGGGTGTGGGCAAAAAGCCCTAAGGTCACGGTGCAGGACCCAGGGTTCATCCACCATCCAGGGATGACCACGGAACAGCTGGCCTCTGGGCACAGGAGACTGGAATGGGCCGTGGACAGGGCAGGTGGAGAGCACATCTGGTGAGAATTGTGTCACCGGGTCCTGAGGTCTCAGGCTGCCCTGGCCCCTGGGATCACCCAGAAGCTTCTAATGGTTTTAAACTGTTGATGCCAGGTCCTGCTCCCAAGGTTGGGAGGTCTCTGGGCTGCGGCACAGAGCAGCAGAGCTCCCCCGATGGTCTTCGTGGGTGGCCAGGCAACCCCAGGGGACAGGAACCCTGGACTGGGTACCTCTCCTCTTGCACACAAGCACTGTGCACTCAGAAAGGGCCATGTGTGAGTGTGCTGGTGGGAAGCTGTGGGGAGGACCCACACTAAGTTATGAATAGAGGATCACAGCCACTGAAACAAAATTGAAGAATACGTCATACAATGGGAACAGGTTGATTCTTAGTCTGTAAAGTAACACAAATGAACATTTGTAAAGGAAAAAGACTGGAAATTCAAACATCAGTATGAGCTGGGCATGGTTTGTCCACCTTTAATCTCAGCACTCTGGGAGGATGAAGCAAGAGGATCAAAAGTTTGACCCCCACTAGAGCAATTTAGGGAGAACATGTTTCAGAGTTAAAAAACAAAACAAAACAAAAAAGACAAATGCAGCTCAGTGCAAAGGCCCTGGGTTCAGTCTCCAGTATGGTGGGTCAAAAAGATCAACATGCTGGGCTGGGATTTAGCTCAGTGGTTCTGCTGCCTGCTTCACAAGTGCGAGGTCCCAAGTTCAACGCCAGGTAACAAAAAACAAAATCAACATGCTAATGCTGTTTATCTTTTAAGTGGCTAAGCTATGGGTGCCAGTGCTTCTGGGTAGACTGCCTGGTGACTCATGTGATTCACATATAATCAGCCCCTCTGCCACAGTCTCCTGGTCTCCAAGGGATAATAATAGCACCAGCCCATATCACAGGCTGGTCAAATAAATGCTGAACTAGAAGCTTTCAGAAAAGAAAAAAATTACTTGTGAAGAGTACAAGAGGGGCTGGGGATTTAGCTCAGTGGTTCTGCTGCCTGCCTCTCAAGAGCAAGGTCCTGAGTTTCAAACCCTGGTATCCCCACCAAAAAAAAAAAAAAAAGTACAAGAGAGTCAGACTTCAGGACTGAGTCTCCAGTTACACAAGCATAGTAATAGCATCGAAAACTGATAAAACCTGCAGAATTACCAAGACTACTGTCACGGGTTGAATGGTGGCCCTCAAAAGATATGCTCATGCCCTTGAAGCAAGACTTAAAGAAAAACAAGTTATTTCCAACCTCAGGCAGATCCCCCTCACCCCGATCATCCCTTCCTCTCCCCTGTAGCTGTAATTCCTTGTTCTGGTACAGATAAAATTGACAAATATGTCCTGTAAGCAAAGTTTATGACACTCTGTTCTTATATATTCATAAGGCTCTGTCTTCTTTCCAGACTGTTTCAAAATTGTCTGCCCTTGTCCTGTTTCTATAAGCTTGCTTGCCGCATCACTAAAGAGACAACTCCCCTTTGACAAACTGTATAAAATCTGGAGCTTTTCTTTGTTCAAGGCTCTTCCCTTGGACATCAGTCTGTTAAACTGGTGTTCACCTAAAATAAAGTCCTCCTGTTTCCCATTGGTCTCTCTTGTCTCTTGGATCCTGCAAAACTCTTATTCCTAATCCCTGGAAAATGAATGTGACCTGACTTGGAAAAAGGGTTTTCATACCCATAATTCAGGATCTCGAGATGAGTTTACCCTGGATTACTGTGTTGGAATGACAGGTGTCTATTGAGAGATAGAAGAGAACAAGGGAGGACCACATGAAGGTAGAAACAGAAACTGGCACACGATGCAGCCCCAAGCCAAAGGGATCACAGAAGCTGGAAGATGCAAGGGTTCTCTCCTTCACCCTTCAGTGGAGCAGGGTCACACAATCTCTCGATTCTTGTCTTCTGGTCTTCAGAGCTATGAGATAATATACGCCTCTGTTGTTTCAAGTCTCCAAGTTTGTGATTATTTGTTACTGCAGCCAGAAAAAACTAACATAGCTGCCAAGTTTGTATTAGTCTGCTCATTATGGAAACCCAGCAACTTTCTCATGTGATTATTACACCCACAAGGGCCACAACACCTTTAGACATCAGCATAGCAAAAATCAGGGATAAAATTCTGTTCAGGAGTCCAGATTCCCAGGAACTAGCCAAAGCTTTATTTTTATTTTCTGGACTATCACAACCAGTGAGAGTTGAGCCTGCTATTTTTGGTTTATCTTAGGTATAGCGTCTTGATATTTGCTTTGCCCAAGCATGGTATGTGAACTATTTATTGACTTTAGGATTGGGGCAAATTTTGGCTTCTACAGTTTGTGGTGAGATTAAATAAGCTGATACATGCGAAGACACTTAGAGTCCACCTGGCACTGCTGAGCGTTCCGTGTGCTGACTGTGACTGTCCTTTTTGTCTGCTTGTTTTTTCTAAACTCTTGCAGTAAGCTCATATAACCACCCTTCCCCTAGAAATGCTCACTTCTAATAAAACACGGCCCAATTATGGCAGCAGTGCCAAGGTCTCTAAACTAGTTCCTCTGGGTTCCGATGTAAAAAACCCAAATCAAAGGCCTCTGTTTAATCTCAGCGGCATCATGGTTCTGTGATTCTACCTGTTTCATCTAAGTGAGAGAAGGGACCCAGCTGCTGTTTCCCCACCTTTAATTAATTATTTATTTATTTCTCCTTTAATTTAATTCAACTTAATTTACTGCGCCAAGGATTGAACCCAGGACCTCATGTGTGTGGTTTTGTTTGTTTGTTTTTTGAGACAGGGTCTCACTATGTAGCTGAGACTGACCTGGAACTCACTATGTAGCCCAGGCTGGTCTTGAACTCACAGCGATCCTCCTGCCTCAGCCTCCTGAGCACTGCGATTACAGGCTTGCACCACCAGGCCCAGCTCGTGTGTGTTAAGTACGCGTTCTGCCATTGAGCTGCACTCCCAGGCCTCCCCTCTGTTTAGTAATCAACTTTTGTTTTTTTAGAAGAAGTTTCAGGAGTGTGCTTGGGAGTTGGATTAACGTGTAGTGGAGCAAATGGCATTTTTGCCTGATTGATCCTGGTGGGGAGAGAGAGAAGGGAGGCAAGGGAGCAGCTGGGGTCAAAGGACGCAGTTGGTATCAGGCCCCCAGGAGTGGGTTACAAGTGGAAATCAGAGTATTCAAGAGTAAAGAAGGGAGGAGCACAGTTGTTGAAAGGAGAGGCCTGGCTTGGGGTTAGAGGGGCACCTCCCACAGGTTAGACATGAGCACCTGTCCTGAAGTTTATTTCTTTGTCCAACAAGCATTTTATTCATTGAGTTCACAAATATTTATTGAGTACCTATTATGTTCCAGCCCAGACACTGGGGTTATTAGTGGAGACCAAGCGGAAAAACATCTTTGTCCTTGAGGAGCTTATGTCCTAGTGGAGGGACAGACAAGCAAGGTAGAAAAATAAAATATTCAGCAGGCTCGGTAGTGATGAGTGCTAAAGTGAAAAGCAGAAGTGAAGAGGAGGAGGAAAATAACGAAGGCTGGAGGGAGGAAGGCTTTGCTGATAAGGTGACACTGGAATCTGCACCCAAGGGAGGGTGCTGAGCAGCGAGTCATAAAGGTGTCTGAGGAAATATTTGCTGTGCTCCCAAAGCAGCTGAACCTCAGTGGGCAGGAGTGGGCAGTGCCGGACTCTGGTAAAAGTCAGCAGAGAGCCACACGAGAAGGGAGCACTTGGGGGCAATGTCAAGCGCACCCCCCAAGTGTCTATAATTCAGTAAATGCAACATACATTGCCCCACTCAATACTGAACTGTAACTTCTTTCTAGAAGATTGTGTAGGTAAGTCACAGACCATAGCGTAGCCTAAGACCTTAGCGACCTTCTGGCCTTAGGGTGATAAGAAACCACCCGACTGGTTGATTTAAAGGTTGCCTTCAGCCAAGATGCACATCTGCAATCCTAGCCCTCTGGGAGGCTGAGGCAGGAGGATCCAAAGTTCAAGCCCAGCCTAGGCAATTTGTGACTTAGAAAGATACTGTCTCAAGATTTAAAAACAAAAATTGAAGAAGCCCAGGGGATGTAGCTCAGTGTGAAGGCCTTGGTTTGATCTCCAGTACCAGGGTGCAGAAAGGAGAAGGACTGCAGCCCCCCTCCTCAATCGCAGGGAAGGGCCCTGGCTCTCTGCTTATTTAGTCAGCACCCCAGGTGATTCTGTAACAGGTAAGTTTAGGAGACAAGGACAGGTAACACAAACAGGGAAAAGGAGGCCTAGTGAGGGGACATCTTGCTCAACCTGGAACTGGTCAGTCAGGCAGAACCAGGAATGATACTTAGATTTCTCAACTCTCTCAGCTCCACAAAATTGGTTTTTTTTTCTTCTCACAGCACAAAGATTGCATGCATATATATATATTTGTAGTTTTTTTTTTTTTTTTTTTTTTTTTTTTTGAGACAGGGTCTCATTATGTAGTCCAGGCTGGCTCTGTACTCGATATGTGGCCCAGGCGAATCTCAGATTTTCCACCCTCCTGCCTCAGCCTCACAAGTGCTAGGATCACAGGCATGCACCACCACTCCTGACTCACCTACGATATTTAAACTGGATACTAGACACGAAACCCAAACACAGATGCCGGGTCAGACAACTGTGAGGATGTGCCCTGAGCACTCTGGTGGCCGAATCTGCCAGGGAAATGGCTCGGGTTGTTGTCTCCATAGAGTCCAATGAAACAATGCACAATTATTTATTTATTTTACCTTTTTCTTCTGACAGATTTTAAAGTCCTCCCAAGTATCCATATCCTATCACAGCAATTACAGGAGAACATGGAAGATGGTCGGGGAGAAAGGAGCACAAGGAGCTCCAGCCT